AATTGAGAACTCGGCTTCACGAAATAAAAGCTTCGATGCACTCAAGACCACCTTGAACGTAAAATCCAAAGAGTTTCTACCATTAAATGCGAAGACAGCACAAAGCGTGAATCTTGATCAAGAACGGAAGAAAGATCATTACTCTCATTTTATACTCCGATTAGCATTTTGTAGATCGTAAGTTTCTTTTTCTTCTTTCTTTTTTCAACAGAAACGCGACAGTTAAATTTTGTTGATGAACCTCCTTGAAAAAACGTGAAAAAAGAGAAGAATTAAGGAACCGATTCGTGAATGCAGAGACCCAATTGTTCCGATACAGACTAGAAACCGATGACACGAGTGAACGAGCAGACTTCGTAGGATCACTGAACCTAGATTGGAAAGAAGCCAGTCCAGAAGAGACCATGGAAGCCAGAAGAGCATTCATCAAAGATAAGAAACATTTTGGTGAAGAAGGGAGTTATTACAAGGTACGTTCTCGTTGTTCTCTTAGAATTTTTCAGCTAGATGGCATATCACCCTCTCTCATCTCAGCTGCAATCAACTGGAGATCAACTGAGACTCTTTTTTCCGAACATCAATAAAGGTACGATGGCTTAAGGTGCCAGATTTGGTCGCAGCTCGTCGGGTTTATCTTTCAGGTGGATACGCGTTTGTCGCCAGCAAGGATCAATCATCAATAATCATCCAAGAGTTTTCATCAAAACTTCTTCAAGCATTAGAAGTCAATCCATTTTCCTTTTTTTTTCAACAATGTATGAAGCCACTAACAGTAAGCCAATGAATCATTCCACCATAAACAAACCACAGATCACCTCCAAACATCTGCCATACATGGACGAAGATTCGCGATTATTACCGGTCTTGGAACATTTATCGATCAGTTTCTTAGCCGGGATCTCAGGCTCGGATTTTGTGTCTACAAGTCTCAACCCAGATGGAGGCGAATTAACAGCATCGATGATCGATGACCTAGCAAAACAACACTTCCCACCTTGCATGAAAAATCTGTGGATCTTATTACGGAAGGATAAACATCTAAAATATGGTGGTCGTCAACAACTAAATCTATTTCTTAAAGTATGTGGAACATACAAAAGATCGTTGTTCTCCCTTCCATCTACCAACAATCCGACTGACTTGTTTTTTGGTTGTTTATGCGGGAATCGATTATGACCGACCCAGGGAATCGGCTTACCGATTGAAGAAGCGGTGATATTCTGGAGACAAGCGTTCAGCAACATAAGCGACGACAAGTTCCGGAAAGATTACCGATATGCGGTCCGCCACAACTATGGCCTAGAAGGGAGCCGGACGAACTACCAACCGAAGTCGTGTGTGACGATCATCACGGGCTCCGTCGGCCCATTAGAGTCCCATGGATGTCCATTCAAACACTTCAGCCAACTCAATCTAACCCAGCATCTCAATCAACTCTATCAGATCGACCTCAAATCTGACCTCATGAAAGATATCATCGAGTTTAAGAAAAACGACCATTATCATCTCGCTTGTACTGCTGTTTGGGAACATCAACATAAAGCTTTAGGCGTCAAAAAAGGCGACGGATTGGGCCAAGGAGAATCAGTCTCTCATCCAAACAGGCAAGTCCTTTGTTTTACTCTCTATCAAGAATGATGGTCGCGCCTCATGTATATTCATCGATGAATCTAATCTTTTGTTTGCTTACAGATACTACGAAGCCAGTTACAAACTAAAAACTGCTTCCAATCCAACTGAACCATCAACATAATTTTAATCAATTCAATTTTTTATTTTTATTGTAACATCAAGAATTTTGTAGTTGTATACAATAATATCTCAGCCTTTCTTGTTCTGTTTCTTCTTCTCATTCAATTTGTCTAATGTTGGATGAACTCAAGCAGCAAGGAATTGTTCCACCATGGGAAGCCTGCTGTGTGTGTGTCTGAGCTTGAAGTTTGTGAAGAGATGACCATACATCCAATTTGCAACAGACAACCCAACAATTTCCCCCTTTCAAAGACTATCATGTCCACAGTTTGCAACACTGTCAAGCCTAGACAAAATAGCTGTATCTAAAACACTCACAACAATTTTACTTTCTGAAACCAATAAAATCTTCCAAAAAGAATCAACCAAAATTCCAATCACAAAGAGAGAAAAAAGTGATGTCAATTAAATATAGCTGTTGATTCAAATATCCACCAGAAAAAAAAAATCAATACTTGAGCCACAATGACTGCAACTGTATTTTTTTTTCTAGCTTTATGTAGGACCACATCACTACGTACTGGGATATCCCTGTTGAATCATGCTGAGGGGACTGTAATGGCAACCAGCTGTGCAATGGATTGGTAGCTCAATGGACCTAGGCTGATGTCACCACCTGTATTGTAATCATATGTATATATTTTTTTTCTCCTGGCAATAGATGTTGTGACCTAGGTCACATGGTGTGACTCGGCTGCGGCTCAGCCAGCCGGAGGAGACTACATCCGTCTCCTCCGGGCCACACCGAGAGGAATCCATACCGTTTTACCCCCTCTGAGTCACTACAGGTTATGAGCCTGCGATACCGGCTACGCTGAAGAAATCTCGAACCGACGAACCATACCGGACTTCCTTTTTCAATCTCGCCGAAGAATCATACCGGACCGATCTTTTATCTTGCCGACGGAGGAATACCGGCACGATTACTTGAAATCTTATATTTTTTATTATTTCTCACAAACTCTACTTATAAATGGATCCTTCACATCCTTCACACGGCGCTTATAATCGAATTCGGCAGTTCTTAGCCGATTTGAATCTTGTTTTAGGACCAGTCTCACATGCGACTACTTACGGACCTTTACCAAATTTCTATCCGATCAGATTTCCTCAAAACCTTGACCTCCGCAACGCTCATCAACAGTTCTCGTCAAAACGACCAACTGCTCGTTCGCAATCTTGGAGGAAAACACACTCAAGAATCTGCGCTCAGAACTTCCCTAATGAGCATCGGCTCCCGCGATCGAAGTCAGCAAATAAGCATTACGAGATTGAGAAGAGACCGAGAGACAAAATGAATCAAATGATGAGACAGCGACCAATCAATAACACTGATATGCCGTACATGAACTATCAGCCACCAAATAAACCCGGACACCACAGCCAAACTCAGACAAACAACCAAAACCGAACTCCTCTGCACAGCCCTGAAGCTGATCATCCATCTATTGAAGCAGTCAAACACAACAAACCTGACTTACAAGGACCTGAATATTGTCGAGAGGTTCACAAAGAGTCTGACCTTGGCTTCAACATGAGCGGCGAGTGTCCTAGCGATTGTAATGATCAAGGCAACGAGTGTCCTAGCGATTGTAATGATCAAGGCAACGAGTGTCCTAGCGATTGTAATGATCAAGGCAACGAGTGTCCTAGCAATTGTGATGATCTAGACAACGAGTGCCCTAACAATCTAGATGAACATGTTAACAATCTTTCAGAGCAAGAGCAGGCCTACGAGACAATTTCTGACAACCATGATCCTGAAGTTCTACCTGAGATTGTGCCAGAATCCGATGATCCTCAGGTGACCGAACCAGCTTTTAGCATGGACAACTACAGTGCAAGAGACGTCGATCGCTGGGCTAGGACTCTGTCGGCTGCTCAATTTGAACAACTACGTATCTTGGGGCCTGCAAGCAGAATTGAATCTTTCCGACAGTATACTATCTCCAACCTCAATCAACCAACTCAGACCCCTACTCAACAAAGCTCACTTGAACACCCAGTTTCTATGTCTAATGGATACCAGGACAACAGCAATTACCACCACCACCAGCCTGATGCCATCAGCAGCAACAATTTTGACCAACATCCGCTTGCACCTCCAGATGATGATCAGTTGAGATCTACTTTCTACAATCACTCAGATGACTACACCTCCCATCAAGAGGCTTGTGACAGTGGAGGTTTTGACGATGGTGGTTTTGACGATGGCGGATTTGACAATGGCGGATTTGACAATGGTGGATTTGACGATGGCGGATTTGATGATGGTGGTTTTGATGATGGCTATGGTTCCCCTTATTATTAGCCTGTTTCACATTCCAACCCTCTTTCCCACTTCTTAAAATTTGATTTTTTTTATCTTCAACCTACTCATCATTTCTACCATTTTATTTTATTTTTATTTTTATTATTTATTTTTTATCTTTCAGCCTCCTCAACCTTTCCACACCAATTTTTCTTCAAGTTTGATCATATTTTGTTTATTTATTTCTTCTACCTTTCTTCATTTTCTTTCTATTTTTTCTCAGCTTTTTTGTAGTTAGAACCTCCCCGGCAGGTGTCTTGGAGCCTTGCCGAGGGGGTGGGTGTTGTGACCTAGGTCACATGGTGTGACTCGGCTGCGGCTCAGCCAGCCGGAGGAGACTACATCCGTCTCCTCCGGGCCACACCGAGAGGAATCCATACCGTTTTACCCCCTCTGAGTCACTACAATAGATTGGTTGAAACTTGACTCTAACATGTAACAAAAAAGATGGGCCCAAGTTTCCAATAGAGTTCTCCATGATGACCCATAACTCAACTCAGTAGATCAACTCCAAAGAAGCATTGTAAATAAATAGAAAACATGGCTTTGGAGAAGCACCACCCTTTCTTGTAAAAAAAATAAATAAATGATCATTTGTAATTCAAACCAACCAATGATTTAAAAAACACATCCACAATGGCTCGTAGTCCGAAACATAGGATAAGCTTAATAATATAGTAAAGAATACAATTAAAAAAGAGTTACAAGCAGTTCAAATTGAATCAATCGATTGACTGATTTAATTCATTCAGCACTTGAGAGACTCTCAGGCCCCATTCCTTAGCCTTTTGAGGGGCATGATTGAGATCCTTGACACGCAGAACGAGTCTTTCGAAGCGATCAGGATGATAAGACCGGACTGCGTTTCTGATGATTTTCTTCCTTTCCGCAGTCGTTGAGGGATCGTTACTAGAGAGAAGATGGCCGACCAGGAAGTCTTTGATCGAGTGGACATTAAATCGTTCGATTTCTGGGAGAGTGTCTTCTTCTGATCGGGTACACGGGTAGATCGGCCAGGGAATCTCCTCAAACTCGACCACCTGTCTGCTCTCTTCCTTCAGCTTCTGTCGTGCGTCTGACGGGCCTCTCTGTTCCCCCTCCTGCGTCTCCTCAGGCTTCGAAGATCCATCGGAATTCAGTAGACAGTTCAGCAGCTCCCAGCGTCGAGTGTACGAGTCTCTAGACCGTTGCTGGCTCTTCAGCTTCTGGTTTGTCTGTTTGAGTGCCTCTCGTTCGGCCCGAAGTTTGGCGTCCGCTCTATGTTTTTTGCGAGCCTCATGAGCTTCTTCACGAGCTTTTCGTTTCTGCTCTTCTTGATCTTTGAGATAAAGATAATGTTTCCGATTCGATTGACTCCACATTCGTTTCCGGATATATTCCTCGTATTCGGCGGGTTCCAAGCGAGCGAGTTGATGGCCATTGAGGTCGGACCGAGCATGAGCCCGACTCTGATGGTCATGCCAACGACGCGGGAGGACGAGCTCGTCCTCGAGGAGAGACTCTAGCCGAAGATCCTCGTTATCGGCATCCAAGGTCTCCCGGAGTTTCTGTTGGAAGTCCCTGGAGCTCGTCGATGGTAGACAGAGGAGTTGATTAGCGATTCTGGAGGAGGTGGTGGTCCATTGTATCACTAACTCGTCGCCAGCTTGGTGTCTGGCTTTCCCCTTATCAGCCTGCATGGCCCGCGAACCAGATGACGAGCCCGAGGGGTACTCGTCCTTCACATCCCCCGGTCCATACGGCTCTGGAGGAGGGTCAATCGAAGGTGAGCGAGTACGTTGTCGTCGTTTGCGTTGCTTGTAGATCTGGCTTGGTTGCTGATTATCTTCCGTGTTCTTCATCCGTAACTTGCCCACAACCATCGTGTTCTTGGTTTGTTTAGTTTGAAAATGATGACCCGATTCAAGACCTGATCAATACGAGACTGTCAAGGAAAGATTCTCAAAAAGATATTTATGTCAGTCAACCTTGCCCATGATAAGTTAAGTGTCTCGAAATCATGGAGAAGGAAGAGAGAGAAAAGTAATTCAGAAGAATGATATCAAGGCCAACAATTTTCTCGTCAGTACTACGACGAAGGCGACAGCCCGACGATAACCCCATACGCAAGAAATGTGTAAGTAGAGCTCATCTGGACTGTCGTTTCTCGATAGCTCAAAGAACAAGGATGACAAAAGGTGGTTTTTCATCTTATACTGGATCAGGATAGATAGGAGTATGAGGAAAATTGGCATGAATGACTAACCTTGTTGGAGTTTTGCTGATTGTTGGTGTCGTTTGCTTTGTTGGTTGCGGATCCTCGCCGACTGAAGGAAGATATGAAGACACTATGAACTCAGTTCGGGGTTCGGGTTACCCTCCTCCCTCGACCCCGAAATTACTCACCAGTCACTCCACATTCATTCCGATGGTTTGACCAGCTTGAGGGACTTACAGTTTTTCAAAATGTCGTGGTTGGAGTTTTTTCCTATCAATATATCTACTCCTCAACCTAATGAACTCCATAGGCTAGTTCCTTCCTCTGCTTCTGGTACCCAGTGTCCCAGCTTTATCAACCCCTTTGCCCTTTCCTTCATTAGATTCATAGCTCACTCCAAAAATTGGTATAGCAGTAGCCATACATGTTACTGTTAGTAATATTTCCTTGAAGCTCCCTTTCTTGGTAGTACAAGCCTGACAAGGAAATCTGGAGAATTCAATTTCAATATACAAAACTTCTCCAACAACACTGCATAAATTAAGAGTTGAACTATTGAAAAAGAACCCCTCTCCCTGTAAAGAAAAACCCCAAAGCCCCCTTTCCATCAGGATTTCACCTGGATTGGAAACTCTACAGAAAGGGAGACAAGCAAGACTGGATTGACACATGGGTTGAGGTCCCAATATAGATTGATCATTATGGATCCAGCTGAGATGCTTTACTCAGTTGAGTCAGAGCAATGATGGGCCAGTTACACTAACCATAGAACTAGTGCAGCATAACATAGCAGAATTCTACTAAAATTTAGCATAGAACAGCAGAATTCTGCCACAGCTGCGCTAAAGCTACTCATTCAGGCCACAAGAAAGGGCCCACTAGTACACCGGAAAGCCCCGTAATAGGGGGGGTGTTGAAAAAGGTATGTGAAAATGGCCAAAAATCCAAAATCATAATCTTGAAATGGCTATGAATTTGTGATTTTTGTAGAAATGTTACTCATGAAATAGGCCATTTTAGGTATGACAACCTATCTTAGACCAATAAAATCTTGGTATTTGGGCTAAGCTGCCAGCTTGCGTGGTGGAAAAAGCACTCACACTACAGGAGGTTGTATGTATTAGAGACCTCAGGGAAATGTGTTCAGATGTTGAAATCTTGGACTCAAGAAGGGCAGACTTTGAGGAATTTGAGAAAATTGCTCAAAAAAGGTTGAGGGTCTTTTTTGGGAAAGGCTTGCGGAAAACGAGTGAAAGAACCAATGATTTTTTTATTCACTGTATTGAGGCTAGCTTAAGTAGACTACATACAAGTGATCAAAATGTGGTAGAAAGAAAATTGAATAAAATATTATTTTGAATAAAAACTGAGAGGAGGGAATATATCAGCTCATGGAAGAAATAACCGGACAAGTCTTCTCATTCTCTTTTAGACAAGCTAGTAATATTAATCATGACAAAACATACACTCCACCACAAATGAATAGAGTTGTTAGTTCTAGACAATTAGATTTTAATGAATGAAATAATGAGATAGAAAAAGAAAGAGGTCAATCACAGAGACAGGAGTTGTTGATAAAATTGCTTTGATAGTTCTAATTAGACTCCAAAAATGCACAAGATTCAACATAAAACCAGTGGCAGCAGTGAAATACCATAATTCAGTCTAATTCAAGAAGATTCAAGAAAGTAAAAAGAGAGAAAAAAATGAAGAAAAGAGGGGTGATTTTTGGGAGGAGCAGACCAAAGAAGCTGAAAAATCAAAAGCAGAAAAGCAGATGGATTTTATTACTAGCTCAGAAATCAGTTTATCTATCACAACTGTGATGGGGCCAAGCTGTGGGACAGAAGGGGAAACTGAATATGCAATCTGGAACAGGGAAGAGAAAAGAAGAAGTGACAGGGAAAGGACATGGGAAACTGTTGGAATTAAAACTCTTCCCTTCTTCATCTCCTTCACTTCTCAATTCTTACATAACTATTTCTTAAATTAAAACCCTAAACTACTAATAATTTCATACCCTGTCTAGTAGCAAGTAATGAAGTTAAACATCAAATTCTTGTAGTCAAAGAACCTTGAATCCCCAGTTGTTAATTTCTTTCTTCTCCATGCTTATCTTCTAATTATTCTTAAAGTTGTGGTGTTGAGATTGATTTAATGAAACTAACATCTTCATTAGAATTGTGGTTCTTGTTTTCTTTTGTTGTTTATAAAGTAGAGTTATCATAAATAAAAGAATTTCTCTCTCATGCTTCATCAACACTGAATTCAATTTCCTCTCAGTCTGTTTTTTATTCATTATTGTTTCTTTATTCAATTTTCTCAACAACCACAAATTGAACTCGTGTATCTAGTCTATTTAATCTAGCCTAGTACAAGAAATTAAAAACCATCAGCTTTCTCCTTCATTTTTTGCCACCTTGAGCTGTTCCAACAAATATATTTTGTTGTCCAAAAATTCTTCCAAAAAACTACTCCCTGATAATTGGTCTCAGTTTCAATAGAAACATGGAGAGAGACCAATTGTTGATGGATTTCCAACACATTTTAGTGGTTATTTGGCCATTTTTGCCACTAAACGTTCTGTATCACAGTGCAGTGGGACTAACAGTGTGCTAAAACTACAGTGTTGGATTGCTGGTTTGAGGCTTGCTATGCTAGTTTGAGTGGGCCATTTAGAATAGTGGAATGTTGCTGGTCTGGGGATGGATTGACTCTGTAATAGTTGACTCTCTTCACTCTTAGTTGCTGGGAGGAAGTGTCTAAAACATTTCTGAAACCAAGGTGAGGTTTTATTTTAAAAGGAAAACTAGACATTGGAGAGTGATTCTCTCTATATTATTAGTATTTGACAGGAAGAACTGAAGAAACTGAAGAAGAACGAAATAAGAGATTCTCTGCCATCTAAGTAGCTGGAAGGGGATGAGACTAAATACCCTCCACTAGCTTATGTCATCAATGTGACAGGTTGTTGTGAAACCTAGGGGAGTAGGAGGTTTCACAGACTTGCCTTTGGTGGCCTGGAGTCAAATGTTCCAATGTGTCACTGTTCTGTCACAATTGTTAAAATTACAGACTGTGAGGTTGGGTGGGGGGTTGATAAGCGCACGCCAACTCCCATGGCGCACGCCAATCTGCACGCCAGCTGCAGATTGGCGTGTGCGCCTGCACGCCACTTGCCT